ACATAGGGTCGCTATGAGTCGCAGGCGACTCAACGGCACATAACAACAACAACCGTCAAATCAGATCTGACTTAAACAGGAGGGGATTATCCGTGCGCCTCTGGGATTGCAGTGCAGCTTCTTGCCACTAGGCCACCAGAGCTCCCCTTAAAACAAAGTTATAAAAATTAGTTTTGCCTCACCACAACAAGATAAAGGTAAATAATCCAATTGAAAAATTGGCACAAGATATGAACACTTCACCAAAGAAGGCATTCAGATGGTCAACACATAAAGAAATGTTCAAAATCCTTAGCTCTAAGAGAGATGCAAATCAAAACAACTATGAGATATCATCTCATGCCAGTAAGAATAGCAAAATTCCACAGAGAGGCAAACTTCAAATGCTAGCGAGGTTGTGGAGAAACTGGAACCCTTATTCACTGTTAGTGGGAGTGTAAAATGGTACAACCACTATGGAAGGCTGTATGGCAAATAGAAATATCATTGACCCAGCAATTCCACTACTGTGAATATACCCTAAAGAAACCAGAACTGCCTCCCAAGCAGATATATGCACACCCACGTTTATTGCTGCTTTGTCCACAGTAGCAAAGAGTTGGAAACAACCTAAGTGCCCATCAACAAACAAATGGGTAGAGAAGCTGTGGTATATTCACACAATGGAATACTATTCAGCATTGAAAAACAAGGCACTCATGAAATATTATACAAAATGGGTGACTCTGGAGGACATGCTGAGTGAAATATCTCAGCCACAAAAGGACAGATATTACATAGTGCCACTGTTGTAAAATGAGACTGGCATCGGGGTTGAGGGGAGACTGAAAAAGTGGGGAAAAAATAATGCATACGTAGAGAACTGTTTAAAAGCATTATATGAATAGGTATTATCATGACAGGAATCCAGAATGAAGGCTGCATAGTGGACTTGGGGAAAGGGATTGCAGAACAATGAAAGAATTTTTCTTTTACTTTTTTAAAGAGAAAAGTAAATTGGGGCGAAGGGGTGGGTAAATCCAAAGTCTCTGTAAAAGTTCATTGAATTTAACAATAATTAAAAAATTAATTTTGCCTAATTGGGTACTGAGTTTATGTAAATAGCGGTGGAGTAATAAGATGAAAGATAGCCATTAAGATTGCACAACCTGTAATAAAAATATATAAGTCTAGCAAAACCTATTTGTAGTCTGGAGTTCCCTTGAAGGGTGCTGGTTTGTAATCTCGATCAGACAGACCCCTTAAATCTATGGAGAAAAAGGCTTGTAACGGAAGTGACTCTCCTCAAGTTACAGCAGCAAGTGCTGAAGGCAGAGCTCAAGATTTTGAGAAACTTCCTCTGAGGAAATAGTTTCCTGGATCATAGAATACACTTACCACGCTTCAGTGCCTGCAGAACAAAGTATGAAGTCCAAGCCCACACCACAGGTGTGCCCTATATTCGCTAATTATCCAGGGTTGCTAGGTTTTCCCAGACTCCGCCCTCAGTTCCTCAGGCCCAGACAATCACTATCTGACTTCTCCGTGGGCATGTCAGTTTCAGGCTTGCCTCTCAACTCTATGATTCCCTCTGTCCTAACATACGCAAAGACAGGCTGCTCAGTTGCACTGGTGCGCACGGAGTCCCCTGGCCCCGCCTGGAATCTACCCCGGAGACAGCTCCCTTTCTAGCCCCATAAAGCCACAGGAGCCTGGCGAAGAAACAGGCTTGTAGCGCATCAACGAAGCTTTATTGCGTTAAGGCGCTTAGAGCGCGCTGTGCTCAATCATGAGCACTCTGCCGGCAGCCTGGCGCTTATGCATTCTCCTCGGCCACACACGACCTGCTGCCACAGCGTTGACCCCGGCATTGAGCTTCTTCTCCAGCAGGTGCATGCGTGCGGTGGTCTCAGTCAGCATGTCCATCAGCAGTTCCTGCTGAACCTTCAGAAAGTTGTTCTCTTCCATCAGCATCTGGCTGTTCACCTGCTGCGCGTGCGCCTTCAAGTTCGAGTTGGTGGGCGAGGGCTCTGGAGCCCGCGGCCGCACGTGTGTGCCCTCAGACGCCCAGCGGCCGCCGCGGAACACGAAGGTCTCGTCATTTAGGCGCGTGCGCGGCGCGCCATAGCAGAGGCCCAGCTCTGCCTGGCGCGTGTGGTGGTCCATCAGGTAGAAGGTGGACATGGAGGAGATGCGGCGCAGGGGCGGCCGCCGTGGTGAGAAGCGCTGGGAGCAATGATAGGTCCAGAACTGCCGCAGCTGCTCCCACAAGCTGCTAGCCTGGACCGGGATCGGGCTCCTGAAGGCCTCCAGGACTTCTCTTGTCAGTAGCTCGGGAGACCACAAAGGAGAGCCAAGAGGGCAACTGGTGATTTAAACCAAACCCTTGCTTCGGGATCTCTAGTGTCCGGAATGCTGAAGACAAGGCAGGAGCACTGCTGGGGGCAAGAGTCCAAATGAGCGTGCTGTAGGGTCAAACTCTTCCTCAGTACACTGAAACCCGAAAGATTTAGCTATGCAGGTAGTGGCCTTAGTGCTGACCAACTGCTAAGCTCTCAAGCCCACCTTCCCCAAAGACCCAAAACTGAGGAGGGCTGGGTGTGGAGGACTTCTACCTAGTAAAGAACTGGACGAGACTGGCATTCTCCCCAGGTGAACCAATTAGAGCTGATGTAGAGACTTGGCTAGACTAGTAAAAATGAAACTGAAAAGGTGACCACTTCACTGTGTCATAGCAAGGCTCAAAAGTTTAGACTTTATTCCTAAGATAAGAAGTCACAGCTTACTACAGGGATAGATCTGGATTGTCAAAAGTATCTGTTGGAATGTCAAGCATAACCAACACCATTATTCCCTTCATGACTCTGTCTTTTATCTATCAAGTACCTGCTCTGTGTTAGGCCTTACTTTGTTCAGAGAGTCCTAGCACAGCCAGTGCCTACCCTCAAGATGTTCTTTGTTCAGCTGGAAAGACAAGTCTGTGCAGTCCACTATCATCAGGGACATGTCACTATGCTGTTGACACCGTGTGCCACAGGCAAGGACGTGGGCTACAGGAAATAGAGGTTGTACAGACTGACATAATTTTTGTCCCAAATTGCCTACATATTTCTTATGTGCTATCAAGTCAACTACAACTTATAACAACCCTATGAACAATGGTTCTGAACCTTTGTTCAGAACCAACCTCCCCATCTCAAATACACCTGACCCCATTGCCACTGTCACTGTGTCAATACATCTCATCCAAGGTCTTCCTCTTCTGCACTGACCCTCTACACTTCCAAGCATGATATCCTTCTCCAAGGATTGGTCCCTCCTGGCAACATAACCAAAGCATGTGAGATAGAGCTTCAAAATCCTTGTCTCCAAGTAGTAAACTACTTTCACCCTCTCAAGAACAAACCTATTTGTTCTCTTGGCAGTCCATGATATGTTTAATACTCTTCCCCAGCACCACAACTCAAAGTCCTAGAAGCTAAAATCCAGATAGTAACAAGCTTCCTCCTCCCCAAAAGTACTAACTCTGTTTAGTTTGAGAAGGTAGATTATGGATTCTTTTCAAAGTTCCTCTTTCTTACCAACCTGCTTCTGTCAAGAAAGGGGAAGAACTGGGGCAGTGTTTTCTCTCATGCCTCTACTTTTGCTCATATCTAACAGGGAAGACTGCATCCTCTAGACCTAATTCAGAGAGACCATCTCTGGAAGTCCAGAGAGGACTCAAGTGGTGGAACTAAGCCCACCCTTGAGACTGGATCTTCCTCTAGGACCTTTCAGTGGTATGTGGAGCCTCACCTGGCAATGTGGTGGCAGAGCTGAGCTGCTGTCCCAGGCTTGGCCCTGTCTCTTAACCACTCAGCTCATGTCCACCAGCTATGACTCATAATGCCTATAGTTGAGCACAACATGAGTGCTGGCAGCTGAGCTGTGAAGCAAACCACGGGCTCTCCACTCATTGAGACCATTAATTGAGCACCACCTGTAAACTATGCACTGTTCCAGGAAGTAAAGACTTTTACACATCAAGCTAACATTTTTGAGGGGGGGAGTGGGTAGAAAAATGAGACATAAGCCTAGCCTGAGACAGGAGTTTGTGTTGGAGTGTGAACAAGAGTAGGGTTTATAGGTTACGTTCCCTAAAAGCAGAACGAAAGATGAGAGTTCAGCAAAGAATTTATTGGAACAGTGCTATCAGAAGGGAGTGATGGTAGACCTAATAGGGCTGGGGTAAAGCTAAACAAAAATGTAGTCTCCACTGAGACTAATCTCAACCTAATCCCTCAGGGAGCTTTTGTTTTTTTAATCCCCCACCCCAGAAAGCTTTGAACACAGATTGCATTGCCCAGTTAGATCCCCTTAAGGCAAAAAGGTTAGTCTTTTGCTGTGAATATCAAGTAACACCTAAGACATTAGTGGGGTGGGGGGCACTACCAGTAAAAGATATTTGGGCATGATGCCAACAGCAAGGGAGAACGAAAATAGATCATAAAAGTAAAATCATTAGGGAGCTCTGGTGGCCTAGTGGCAAAAAGCTGCACAGCAGTCCCAGAGGTATGTGGTTCAAATCCATGAGCTGCTCTGCTGGACAAGGAGGGACAATCTCCTCCTGTATCAGTCAGATCTGATTTGACAGTACACACAAAAAATAATAAAATAAAAAAAATTTAAAAAGTGAAATCACTATATGAATAAGGACTTTAGCTGTGATATGAGCAAAGAAGAAAATTAGAGAAAGTGGGACAGGGTACTACAGATAGGAACTAATTTAGACACATATTCAGTGAAGTCACTTAACATTCATGCTAAGACCTAACCAATCAGGAGACATCTAACCACGTGAAAACCTGGTAGATAAAAGCAGGACAGCATTTGGTATATTTGAAGAATAGCATCTTGTGTTGTGGTAGTGGAGGACTGACAGTATTTGGTTGTCTGACACTACAAGAAGCAAGGATTTGAGTAGAAATAAAGTTTGAATCTTTTAGATGCACTTTTATTCAGATGCCAGCAATCTGAGAGAGAAGAGCAGCATGGATACTGTAAAGAATATTTGGCCCCTCAGTATCAAACCAGAATTTTAAAAGGGATGGTTAAAGGCAATTGGTGGTGGTGTTGTTAGGTACTGTAGAGTTGAGCACAATTCATAGTTACCCTATCAACAACAGACCTGAAACCTGTTCTGTTCTGTGGCATCCTCACAATCTCTGACACATTAAAGCCCATTGCTTCAGTCATGTGTCAAGCTATCTAGTTGAGGTCTTCTCCGTTTCCATGCCTCTACTTTTCCAAGCATAATGTCCCTGTCCAAGGAATAGCCTTTCCTAGAAACATGTCAAAAATATGTGAGATGAAGCTTTATCATCTTTAAGGGTGCTCTAATAGCCTAGTGACAAGAAGCTATGCTTCAATTCCGAATCTATGCTGTTTGAGGCTACCAGATGTTTCTCTGGAAAAGGTGTGGGCAATCTCCTCCTGTGCCAGTCGGATCTGATTTGACCATACACAACAACAACAAAAGAGAAGCTTTATCATCTTTGCCTCTAAGGAGCACTCTAGCTGCACCTTCTATAAAGCATATCTATTTGGATTTAGATCCTCCCAGAAGAGCTGTGGGTGAGCATTAACATTACTGGTAAGTATATTCATTTTCTCCTGGACACAA